AATCACCTAAAAAACTTTGGCATATATTTTCTCAATTTTATTTGTCTTCTCTTCAGATTTTCTGTGCACAATCAATGCCAGTTGTTTCATACTCCTTTCTTTTCATGTTAAATAATTTTTTGACATATTATATAATATATATATGTACTTATATTATACATATCTGTTATATATATATTTTTAAAATATTTTTTTTTTTTTTTTTTTTTTTTTCTTAATTTTCTTCCAATTTTAAGGACTACAGCACACCCGCTCTCACTACCTTAACATTGACTTAATACTAATATATATATATATATATATATATATATATATATATATATATTATATATCATATATACATTATTTTGTTTATTTATTTATTTATTTCATTTTATTTCTTTTAAATTAATATGTTGTCTAAGCTCGTATCCTCTCTAATATTTGCTCATATATATTCAATTTCGCTTCATCCATTTTCTATTTACATTTTCGTTATTTCCTTTATATATCCTATAACAAACCTTTGCTCTAGTCTATGCTACTCCACTGGCAGCACACCTAGCAACTGCTGGGTATGCTGCGAAAGGGCACAAAAGTTGAGATCAAAACTTTGTCCTTTGCAGCTGAGCAGCTGAGCAGCTGGCCAGCGGCAGGTGTTGTTTGTCCAGCTGTCCGTTTATTTAGGGGTCACTGCAAAGGCGAATTACGGCCATTAGTTTGGGTCGTCAACAGAAAAAAAAAAAAAAAAAGAAGCAGCAAAAGCAGGCAGCAACTGTTGGCCATTGTTGTGCTCGTAGTCCGGCACAATTAACAATTGTGGCCGGGCGTAGCTTTTGCCCAGATATTTGAGTTCTTATGAGCTCACTAGGCACGTAATTGTTTAGAAAATTTGCCAGCAAATAGCTGCACTCCAGGTGGGACTCCAGGCAGCGGCAGAGTGTGCTAAATGCTCTTAATGAGAGAGCAAATCGTTTGCAAATTGCATTGAACCGAATCGAATTGCATTGCCATTTCATATTGTTAATAAATGAAGCAGTACAGAATATTTCGAAACTCAAAAACTACAATTGAAATGCATTAAGAATTAAATATAATTCAATGAAATTGCGGAAATGAGTGTGGTTAGAGTCTCTGTCTCTGTGTGTGTAACGGAAGTGAAAAGTTTTTTATTTTCGACTAGAAACAAATATGAAAATTTTGGAAAGCTGCAAAATGTTTGGGGAAAATGTACCCAAAATTTTAAGCGTCAATTAATAGAAGCAAAATGCTTTATCAAATGACCTCGACTCGACTCGACTGTGTATGTATGTGTGTGTTTGTGTGTGTGTGGGTTTGGCAGCAACGGAAATGACAGCGCTGCAACGCTGCAGGAAGCAATAACCGAATTCAGTTACGTTGCACGGAAATGACACACGGCACGAAAATCAACCAGAGGATGAGCAGGAAAATTGTGAATGGGAGAAAGAGCTGAAAGCTGCAGCTGTGTGGGTAAGCAACTATCTATGTATATGTGTGTGTTTGTGTGTGTGTTTGTCTGTTGCAACTAATATGCAAAAATTCTATTCTGATTTGGAATTTTTGCAATTTGCATGTTGCATCCTGAAAGTCAAGCACAGGAAAATCTCCTCAATAAACTAAAAGTTTACATAAATTCTACGCTTCAGCTGATCCAGAGACGGACAGGTGAGTTATTCTCGATGCCCAAAATGTCAATGCATATTTATGAAACGTTTGTTAGAACGGCATACAAATGCGCTTTAGGATGTTGCAGTTGCATGCAGAGAAGAGGCAAGATAAAAATTAAAAAAAGAAAAAACAAAAGGCACCTGCAAATTAAACTTGGATTTTTCAAAAATTGTACATTTTAGCTGAATAAAGCAAAATATAATGAAAAGCTATACTGTAGCCCAATATAAAGAAAAGATTTTGTTAAAGGGTAATTAACTATGGGAAAGCAAATATTCCGATTTCTTTGTTGATATTAGGACTTCGAATGGACTGAACAATTTCTTTTCATTGACGTTTTAAACTTGAGTATTTTAAGTACTGAAAAGGTATGTTAAAAATTATATGCTTTATGCTTGTGGTTATTTATACTTTTGATTGTAAGCACAGCTTTGCTCAATCAACCGAAGACCTCGTATTAGCTCGCTCTCGCTCTGACCTAAGGGCTTCGTGTCTTCTCGTTCTTGTCTTAAGGTGAGCGCCTTAAACTTTCGTGTGTCGCTCTTTTCACGAACATTGCTTAGGGAGAGACACGATTGACAGTCGTACAATGTGACTCAGTAAGTATGCAAGGAGCTAATGCCAATGATCTTCTCTTTTACATACACATGCACTCACCGACTTTATAATACGAATACAAACCTCGCATACAAACTAATACTTACACAAATGAATTTTAGCCTCAGAGTGCAGGTTTCTGTTTGATTGCGAATAAACGCAACTCGTTGAGGAATCCCTTGCTCTCTAACTATTTTCTCAGAGTGTCAGAGTGTATTTGCTGACAAGGTCAATAGTTCATTGCGAGTTATGATTATCTGGTTATTCAAAATAAATCAAATTGATTTAACTATCTTTGCTGTGTTGGCTTCTATGTTGAATACTCGAATTATCAAAATTTTGCCAACTCTTAGCTATCAGCTGAGTAGATATATGCTATGTAGACATATGAGCTTGTATTTATTCCTTTTTTTCTTCCCTAACTTTTTATCTCTGCCTCCGATAACCGATTTGCAAATTGATTTTATTTTGAATGTAGCTTTCTGTTGTTGCTCACATTTTGATATACGCTTTCATCTCATAGCTAACAGCTTACCCAAGCCTTTCCCCATCACCATATCCAAAAGAAAAACACAATGTGATATATATTTTTAGTAATTTTACAATTTATTTGTATTTACTTGTTCATCATCATAATTTACTTTACTTCGTATATTTAGGGGTCTCATTCATCATCATATATATATATGTATATATAAGTACTTGAGTTTAAGTTGTTTACCTTCAATTTAATTCCACTTTTTGGTTTCTCTCTGCTTTGCTTTAATTCAATTTTAATGAATATTTAATTCAAAGTTTTTCCTCTTCCGTTCGGCATTTTCAACTAAATGCTGATTTATATAATTTGTATATATATATGCGTGTGTGTGTATATAATTATACAATAATGTATACATATATATGTATATTTATATATTTTTTTTATGTATTTCACATAATTAATAATAAATAATATTTATAATTAATTACAATAAATTGCATAACAAAATTGATTTGACTTTCCATTTTGAGTATTCCACATGATGTTCCGCTAATATTAATTATTCATTTTTTCTGCTTCTTTTTATACAATAATTTTCGCATTGCTAGAAAATCATGAAAATGAATTTTACTGCTAATCTTAGCGCTTTCTCTTTCTTTTTTTTCATAAATATTTGTGTATTCTTTTTTATTTTTCCATTTTAGTTTTTTTGTTGTGAGTTTTCTGTTTTGCGGTTGATTTTATGTTAAATATATTTGTGTATAAAAAAGTATTTGAGATGATTTTTTTTGTGTTTATTTGTTGTTTAAATTGTTAAATAAAGTTTGTGGTTGTTCGCATATTTAATTTGTTGTTACCTTTGCATTAATGTTTTTAATGTTGTTTTGTTAATTACTTTTCGATTTGAATTGGTAATTTTTTGTTGTATTTTAGTTAATGTTTATATATGTTTATATACGCTAAGTACAATGCCTGTTTATGTGATAAAAACTATGTAAATTGTTTTTATTTTTCTTTCAATATTAATGGGGGACCTTTCATTATGTAGATGTGTTTTGCTAGTTAATTTGGTGCGCGACTTATAATATACATATGTAATTATATATAAGTACAATTCTTAAATTTTTTTTTGTATTTTTCTTTATATTTTATAACAATTAATATCGTTTTTCATAAAGTTAAGAAATTCGTTATTCATTTGCTTTAAACGCTTTTAGATTTGTAAGTTTTTCTCCTGAAGCTCAAACGCATCAATACCCAATAATAATAAATTAACAACAATAAATTAAAAATTAAAATTAAAATTGACCAAAATGCACTGCAAACAAAAATATTTGAAATATTTTCTATTGCTTCAGCTCTTCCAGAGCTCCCGTTTTCTTGTTCTTCTTGACCTGGGCATAGAGCGAGGCGGCCTTATAGTTGATGGGTCCGTAGTGCTGACTCTCGAGATCCGCGTAAATGAATTCATCATCGAAACTTGCGGCATTTAATGGCTAAATTTGTGATGATTCGAAGAAGAAGAAGATGAAGTCAAGAGGTGAAGTAAAACCAAATCAAATTCAAACGAAAATTTGGTTAGAAAGCGCTTTTCACATGCATATTAATAATCTATAACGCCTGTCGTATTTTCTTGTGAATAAGCTAATGAGAGAGAGAGAGACAGAGAAGTGTGTGTTTTTCATAGCATATCGAACGATTTTAAGAATCGAAATTCCATTGAAATCAAATATTTGTATTGAATTTGACAGCACGACAGTTGAAATAAATTATTAACATTGTTTGTTTATCGTAACAGAAAACTTGACTTAAATAGATTTACCTTTTTTTCATATTTTTTGGTTTGATATTTATTTTGTGACATGAAACATTTAGTGGAAAGTTATACAAATAGAAGAATTTAGAATATATAGGTATTGCTGCCTTTGTATGGATCCTCAAAATCGGACACATGCTATAAGAAATGAATATTTGTCATTTAGAACACACTTCAGAATACAAAATTCTATTATAATTAACAAATTGTTAGCACTTTGTTTAAATGTTTCAGTTAGGCTGGACAAATGAATGAAATGAGTTTTGCTTTGGTATTTCTAATTTAATTAAATTAAATATACTATAATAAATAAATAAATATTTATATATATAAATATGCTTGGCTTCTGGTTTTGGTTTTCTTTTTAGTTAGTTGTAAACTTGTTGCTTAGATTATGCGATTATGTTCTATATACAATACAAGTACAAGTTACATATCTAAATTGTTGAATTCATATATTTTGTATATTTTACACAAAAAACTACGTCAAACTTAACACACATACAGTCAAGAGTTGCCTTAGGTATATCTCTAAATTTAATTCGAATATTTAAGAATGAATTAGTTGTGCTTCGGGGAGAATTTTTGCTGCTCGTTTTGTTGTTGTTGTTAATATTTAGCTTGATTGATGATCGTTGAATAATGATTTCTCTCTCTTGTTATTCACTTGTCGGAATCATAAATATTTAGTTTAGTCAAGTTTATATATATTTAAGCTAACTATATACACTAACAACAGTCAAGTCTGGCGACTTGTTTGTCCTATTCGATTTCTTCATTCGGGTTGCTGTTCGAGCTGTCGCCGCTGGGCCAGCCTCGAGATTTTCTGTTACAATTACTTGATACATTGTAGCTATAGACTATATTCCGTGTGAGTACTATAAAAATATGTAAAAACATTGGCAAAAGTTGATGGAATGTGAGACGAATCGGGCAAGCGGAACGCGAGCCACATTGAGAACCTTTCGCTGAATCAATGAATTCTCTTTCAATTACTTTCTTTTCCTTTTTTCATTTTTCTTTTCTTTTTCTGACTAAATTCTAAGCTAACTTTCGATTTTCAAGAATTTACGCTAATTATAAATATGTGTTTTATTCCTTTAGCTTTACTTTTTGCTTTAATTACTAAATACCTTGTATGCGTCATTTAGGCCTGTCTAACTGTCTGGGTTTTTTTTTTCTATCTTTTTATCTTTTCATTCTTTTGTTAGTATTTGTCCCTTATTAAATGTGCACCTCGCGATAGCTTTGGGTCATAAAGTATTTCAGGGCGCCGGCTGTTGCATTTGCCACAGCTGCACTGTGGGCGGGCGTTGTGGGCGGTGCTGTAAGATTCTGTGAGGCCGCAGCAGCAGCTTCATCCTCATCATCATCATCATCATCTTCGTTATCATTATCATCTGCAGGCTCCTCATCGTCCACCATATACTCCTCTTCACAAAAAGAATAGCCCAAATCCTCATCTTCCTCTTCAGCAACATCAGCTGCTGATGCTGCTGTTGTTGTTGCTGCTGCTGCTGTTGCTGCTGCAATTTGCTCGTTTTGTGGCTTGGTGCGCGCAAACATAAAGTCCGGATGCGTTTTAGTTAACACCTCTAATGCCTCTAATGAGGCAGCAGGATTTAGTTGACCCGTCGCTGCTGCTGGCTGCTGTTGCTCCCGCTGCAACTGTTGCTGCTGTGCTGGCGATGCTGCTGCTGCTGCCGTTGCTGTTGTTGCTGTTGTCGAAGGTGTCGGCGAAATTGGCTTAAAGGCATGTCGTTCGCTCAGCGCCAATGGACGAAAGATGAGGGGCCCCTGCGCCCGCTCCAGCTGCTGCTGCTGCAGCTGGCGACGCAGCTGTTGCAGCTTGCCGTTGGCCGTCTCTGTTGTCTGGAAGTGGAAGGTGTGATGTTTGCGCAGTGGCAAACGCATCGGGCGACGCACCACCAGGCAGTCGTAGGCGCCGGCCGCTGCCTGTATGGGGGGCGGGGCAGTGGGCAGGGGCGGCACATATCTTAAATTGTGATTGCAGTCGGCGGCTGTTAATTGACTTGCCTGCAGCAGCAATTCATTTGGCATTAGCATTTGTTGTTGATGATTGCCACGCCCACACCGCTGCCAAGGCCCAGGCCCATTGTTGATGCTGTTGTTGTTGTTGTTAATTTGTTGTTCGATCTCTGCTGCTGTTGCTGTGAGCGATGTTGCTGTCGTGCAATGACTGTCGGCTTCAGTGGCGCTGTTGTTGTTGTTCCTGCTGATGTTGCTGTTGCTGGCAGCAGCGGCAGCGGCATCGACATCGGCATAATGCCGTTTGATATGTGCGTAGGGGTCACTGATGGTCTGTCGTCGTAATTTCTTACTGCAGGCGCTGCTGTTGGCTTTGTTGTTGTTGTTGCTGCTGCTGCTGCTGCTGTTGCCATTGTTGTTGTTGCATTGCCGTTTAAGTGCTAAAAATGGATTAGTGGCCAACAATTGCGTTTGCTGTGGTTAGTTGCGGTCGTGTTTGTTTTTATTTGGTGTATTTGTTTGTATCCAGCAAAAATCATATTTGTGTTAAGCAATCGTGACATGTGAAAGAAACAAAAATGAAATGTGTGAAACACAAAAGTAAAACAAATTATAAAGTGTTTAAGCAAAAGCAAAAGACAATTGTGTTTCTTCAAAATCAATCAAGAAATTGCTTTAAAGTTGAGCTGTTAACAACTTGTCGTGCGTGTTGTTGATTTCATCTCTGAAAAGCAGTTCCTGTTAACTGCTTTGAATACTCATTAAAAAATTTAATTATTTGTTGCATATTTATAAAAAGAGACTTTAACTTGGCCAACTTGATTTCTATAAAGAGCTGAATCTCTGCCTAAGAGCTGAAGACTTTTACTAGCATTGCCTATGCCTAAGGTTGCCTAGATTTAGACCCTTTAGATTTATCCCCACTTTGCCAGGAGACAGAGAAGGAAGACAGAGAAGGAAGACAGAGAAGGACACTGAGCGGAAAGAGACGGGGATGGGGAGGAAGTGAAAGAGCATGGGAGATGTGAAGAAGGTACGGGAGGATGAAGAAGGGAGAGAAGGAGAACGAGAACGAGAGGTGGAGAACGAGCAGGAGAAGGAGAGTAAGACTGTGGGGAAGCAGCGCTTCAAAGTTTACTTAAAAAGATTATTAGGGCTATTTAATATTAAAATATTAAAATAATTATGTGAGTAATGAGATTAAGTAACTCAGAGTTCTGCTATAAGTTTAAGTTAGATACTTTGCTTCATTTTGAATAAAATAGTAAAATAGGATGTCTAAGAACTCCCAGTTTATACCTTTGATACAGACAGAGAATTAGGAGGATCTCCTATATTTTTTACATATTGCTTTTACAGACTAGACATTAGAAATTCGGTTCAGAATCTGAGTTTTATACCTTACAATATTGTTATTATTATTATTTTTTTAATATAGCCAACTCTGGGGCTAAGGAATTTTTATCATGAAAAACTAGCTACTTCTTGTGTTCAATTCAAGTGTATGAAATATGGCAAAATACTAAATAGAATCCCAAGCTAACCTAGATAAAGAAACCTATCCTAAATCAGACATATTTAAGCCCGAAATTTAAAGTGTTGCACCTGCTTGAGGCCAGTGCGTGCAATATAGCCCAGGGCACGGCTCATGCTGCCGCTGGGATAATGGGCGACGCAGCATGGCTGGCTGGAACCTAAGCGAAGTCTAATGTACGCACCTCATGTGGACCTACGCGATGTGGCAGCTGTTGCATTGTTGCTGCTGCTGTCGCTGATGCTGCTGCTGCTGCTGCTGCTGGTGTGCTGGGGGGCTTGCACTTGCCACGACTGGCGGCACTTAGGCTGCTGGCAACGGACAGCATGGAAGCGGAATGTGCTGGCTGATGGCCCAGCTGATATTGCTCGTAATCCTCGGGTGTTGTGATTTCCGGCGTTGGCTGTCTCTGATGATGCTGCTGCTGTTGCTGCTGTTGCTGTTGCTGCTGTTGCTGCTGCTGCTGTGGATGGCGATTGCAGCGTGAGCTGACGGTGCCAATGCCGCTGCTATGAAGCGAATTGGATGAGCTGAGCGAGGTGGGATCTGTGACGGGCGCCGACGAGGCCGATTCATAGGACGAATTAATATGGGCTGGTGAGCCGGCACGTGCCAATTGCTGCTGCTGCTGCTGCTGCTGGCCCTCCACATTCATGTAGAGCGGCTTGCGTGTGAGATTGAGGCCCGCTGCGGACGCTTTGTGCGGCTTGGGCGTGCGCTGGCCCAGCGCCGGCAGCTGCGACTCATAGGAGCTATTCGATATGCCCGAATCGCTGCGATAGATGCTGAGGCGTTCGGGCTCCATCAGCTGGAAATCAGCAGCACCGGCGCCGGATGCATCAGCCTTTTGCTGGTGCTGGCGATGGTGATGTTTCTTCTTGTGGCTCGCCGAGACGACAGCAGCCGGCTGCGAGTGCAGCTGCACCGTGGCCAGACTGAGATTGTGCTTAAGACTATGGTGATTCATGTTGAGTGTGTGATGGCCAGCCGGCATGCTGCTGCTGCTGCCGTCACCGCCCACATCGAGATCTAGATCCAGGTCTAGCTCGTTGCCGCACTTGTCCGCCACATTCTCGTAGACGGGCGGATCATAGAGGCGCAGGGGCTTGCCGTTGGATTCAATATCGCCATGGCTACCACCAGCAAAGGAATGATGCCGCTTGCATTTCGGCTGTTGCGCTGTCGATGTTGCTGTCACGCCCAGCGAGCTGTTCAGATTGTAGGCGGGCTTCTTCAGCTTGTTGCCGCCATTGGGAAACTTCAGTGAGTAGAATTTCTTGTCCACATCGATGCGATCCAGCAGGCTGCCCACCTTGCCGCGCTTGCTGCGCTGCATGCTGCCCAGCAGCTCGTCCCCGGCCGCATCGTATTTCTTAAAGTTGCTGGCGGCGAGGAAGGGGTTCGTGTTGAGCAGCGCTGAGCTAGGCGCCGGCGGTGGCGGTGGCACACGCTCAACCACCGCATAGGTGGGCTGATAGTCGTGCTCGATGGCATTCAGCAGTTGGGCATTCGATGCGGAGTTCGTGTGAAACTTTTGCGACTGTTGCTGCGAGGGTTGCTGCTGATGTTGCTGCTGCTGCTGTGATTGCTGCTGTTGCTGTGATTGCTGCTGTTGCTGATGATGTTGCTGGTAGTACTCGGTGTAGCTTTTGGGAAAGCAATTGCTTAGATTATATTGTATCTGATCGGAGCCGGACTCGAGCTGGTCCATGCTGCGATTATGTGGAGCTGTAAGAGGGGGCGGGGCTGTGCAGCCACGCCCGTACTGCAAAGTGTTGTACTGTTGCTGCTGCTGGTGCTGGTGCTGTTGCTGTTGATGTTGCTGCTGGTCGTAGTAGGGTGGCTGCTGCTGTTGAGGATGCGGATGCTGTAGAGTCTGGTGATGCAGCAGCTGCTGGCTGTGCATCGCTTGACCAATATTTCCATTTAGTCTCTTGGGTCGTGGAGCGACGCGCACCACATTTGTGTTGTTATTAAAATTTGTAGGGGTAGTAGAGAACTGGCGATGCAACAATGCGAGCACATGCAATGGGAGGTTATTTTTGGTTTTGTTTTATTTTTTTGCAATTCAGCATTTGATTAGCAGCGTGTGGCATTAACAGAGAGAGAGAGAGAGAGAGAGATATGAGAGAGAGAGAACATTCGATTAGTTGCGTTTGCAGTTAATTATGGAGCTTGTGCAAGTCAGCTGTTGGTTAGCTACTAAACTGGATTGGCTGTGAGCACTGTGTGAATGAGCTGTATTAATTGTGGTATTTGCAATTCGTGTCTGAACTAGCGAAACACAACACTGATTAGGATTAGAGAATTGTTTAAGTTGAGAGAGGAATTGAGTTGGGCTTTAAAAATATGCGAGCTAAGCGGAAAATATTCAGCGATATTTCCAATTTATTTTACTGAATGGAATTTACAACGAAATATCGCAGATTGATTTCTCATAATAAATTGAGTTGTAATTTATATTTTAAATTTCTATATATGCAGTATAATAAATAAATATATGCATATACCGAAAAATGTGAAATTTTCTAATTAGTATTTAAATTTAATCAATTTTTAATCAATAATTAATTATAAATTTTTTTTCAATAAATTTTTTTTAATGATTATAAATAATAATTCATTAATCAGTATTTTATAATTATTTTTTATAATTACTTTTTAATTCATTATAATAAATAATTGGTTGATTGATAATCAATAATTAATTATTAATATTTTTTTTAATATTGTCTCAATTTAGGTTTAAATTAAAAATAAACAATTTTTATCATTAACTTTGCATTTATCCAAACTTGAAATATATTCAGTTAAATAATCTGTTATATCTTCTAGTCTATAATATTTGTTAAATTTTATTGGCATCATACAAATAACATTTTCTAAAAATATATTTCTGTTCACCGTTTCACTTTTAGCTCGCATATTTGCTAAATTTCATATAAATATTTTTTGTTTATTAATTTTACATCTAAAATAAGGAAAAATTAAAAATGAAAACTTACTTTTTACGCATTACAGACTAACCAACATAGAATTAATATTTGATATGAAGAAAATTGTACTAAATTCAGGGCTTAAAAATACCAAAAATAAATACCAAAGCAAGGTATATAAAATGTGAGATAAATGGAAAATTAAAATGAAAATATAACCATGGTATGAATAAGGAATACGATTAGAGGCAATGGAGAGCAAATAGCGTTTGGAATGTAGGCTAAGTTACATAGAATACATACGTAAAATACACAACTCTTGGCTTAAATCATAAAAAAAAAAAAAAAAAACTATAATAAATACAGATAAATCACAAAAAATCATGTTTGGCAAATAGAAGAGATATAGATTTAGATATAGATTTAGAGAGCTTGGGCTAGAGATAAACATAGACAAGAGGCAATATACGATATATATATTTATATATAGATACTCAGATAAGGCTTAGACTTAGATACATAGAGTACATATTGATACGAGGCGAGATTAGCAATGTGTGAGTGTGTGTGTGTGTTGGTGCTCTATGTGAGTGTGTTTGTTGAGAGTGCGAGTGTGTGTGAGTGTTTGAGTGTGTGTGTTAAACGAATTTTATCATAAACATATCTAGTTGAAATAATTAAACGAAAAAGAGGCAAATTGTAACTGTACCTTGTTAGGTGCCGTTTGCAGACCATGAAACGGTAGATTCTCATACTCGCCAGGTTCCGTCAATGGATCCCCCAGTGAAGACGACTTGTCGTGTACTATATAGTAGTATATACGTATACGGATCGGTTGATTTTTGTTTGATTTTTTTTTTTTTTTTTGGCGATTGGCATTTGGGGCGTTTTAACAATTTGTGTTTAAATTGTATTTATTTGATTTTATTTTTTTTTCAAAAGAAAAATTGTAAGAAAATAATTGGAAAAAGAAGAAAAATATTGAATTAGTCAATTATAAAATAAAAATGTATTTGGTTTTACTAAAAATTAAGCCTAAGCTTCTGCTTTTTTATTGTGTGAGAAAACACCTAAGCTAGAGTTTTTTTTTCGAATAAATTGTAAGACCTAACGAAATAAGAGAGCTTCAAACATAATATTTCATTTTTTATATTACATTTTTAACATTTTTTCATTATATTTGAATGACATGCAATAATTTGGTAACACAGAGCAGGCCAAGGACGATTCACAAGCAGGCAACACGAAAACAACATTGAATAAAGTGCAAGCCGAAACAGTAAAAGAAAATCAAATGTTTATAAATATATGATAAATATTAACAATGACAAGTTTTTGTTGTTGTTATTGTTGTTGATGGTGATGTTGTTGTGGTATTTTTAGCTTTTGTATGTTTTGTTTGTTCTGCTTACGGAATTTCTCTTACTTGATTTTATATATTTCTTTTCTATATAAGGACCTCCTCGCTTGATTCATTGAAATAAATTACTTACAGCGATTATGATATACAGAGAGTTTTTAAGTTTAGATAAATGAATAATAAAATAAACAAAAAAAAACTTGAGTTGAGAGTAGGAATTGCGTGTGTGATATGTACAAAACTGGGGGGAGATGAGATGAGATGAGCTGAGCTTATGGGTGAGGGTTGAGGTGTAGAGCAGATTATAGAAGATTTTTATAAAGAGTTGAGTGTGTGAATATGTGTGAATATGAGCACAGTAAATAGATTTTGAAGTTTTGTTTCAATTACTTGCCAAAAGTTTAGTCTAAGTCAGCCGACAGCTGTAGCTGTCTTCTAAGATGGTAAACCACGTAAAGCCTCAGCTTTGACTTAAAATTTGCAACTCAGCAATTTCAATGAAATGAAATGATTTTTTTTTTTTTTTTTTTTTTGGGAATTCATAAAGGGTAATCTGTTTTTTGTCAAGTCAGGTTTAGCTAATAAAAGAAATATGTATATGAGAAATTTACTTTGAGATATTTTTGTAATAAGAGGACAGGCGGCCAGGCCTACAAATTCAATTGAGTGTGCAGATGAGTGTTTTATGAGCTATATGAGTATATGAGATGACTTGTGGGTTTGTTCTTACTTTGGACGCGTTCGACTTTGCTGGGGGAAACCACAACTGTTCGTTTGAGCAGGGGCGGACAATTGCCGCCGCTGAGCAGCTGCTGCTGCTGCTGCTGCTGTTGCTGTTGTCCAGAGCCAGGGCGCACTGGCAGTATGGGCGGCGGTGGGCGTGGTGGTGGCGTTGATCTGGGCGACTTCAATATGCCGTGGCGCTGCGGTTGCGCCAAGCAGCTCACACCAAGCCCAGCGTGGGCTATTGTTGCTGTTGCTGTTGCTGTCGTTGGTGTTGCTGTTGCTGTTGCTGTGGTGTCTGTTGGCGACGTCTTGTCTAATGAAGGCGCTTGAAATGTCACAGAGGCATGTGATTGGACACTGCTGGAATTGTTTGTTGTCGTTGCCGTTGTGGTTGTCGTTGCTGCAGCTGCAGATGTTGTTGTTGTTGTTTGTGTTGTTGATGTTGATGTTGAATTAGTTGCTGTTGCTGTGGGCGTCTTTTTGTAGGTGACTAGCGATACGTGAAGATACATGTACGTGTGCGTGTGCGTATGTGTGTGTATGTGTGATGCGCAATGCGATACAACATAAAAAGCAAATGATAAATAAAGAAAATAAAGAATTAGCCATGAGAGTGGAAATCGTCGCATGTGTCGCATTTATTACCACTGCCGCTGGATCGTATGCCCTTAAGGCGATGCTGAGCTGCGAATGGCGATTCCTGATTGCCACGCCCACGCCAAAATGTGTGCAACAGACCCACGTGGCTGCGCTGGCTATCCCGCGTGCCATCGTCCGCATTTCTGCCTCGCTTGGCGCGCCTGAAAACAAACTTCCAAATGCGTTGCATATGACTGGGCGCAGCAACTGCTGCTGCTGCTGCTGCTGCTGCTGATGCTGCTGATGATGTGGCTGCTGCGCTGGAATTGTCTAGGCAGGCTGTAAGCTCTGGGTGCGGCTCAGCTGCATCTGTCGATGGCAAGGCAATGTCAGTGGAATTAGTCTTCATCTGACTAGGCTGTACAATGGATGTTGTTGCTGCTGATGCTGCTGCTGCTGCTGTTGCTGGTGGCTCCATCACCGACACCGTCACCTCGGTTAGCATTGTGCTATTTGAGTTAGTTTGGCTATCGTTCAGCACGGCACTCAGCTGGGCCGACAATTGACTCGCATTCGCAGAGGGATTTGGCAGCGAGCTAGGATTCGAATTCGGATTCGGATTCGGTTTCAGTGTCATGCGATTCACGGCTAGATTCTCTTTGGTGTCGCTGCTCACGTGCAACATGACACCTGGCCGCAATGGCCAGCGCGGCGGCGATTTCGGTACTGTGGCATGCAACGTGCTATTTCGCGTTATGGGCGGGGGCGTGGCCAGCTCATTGTTGTTCTCGGCTGCGGCGAGCTTTTGTTGATGTTGCTGCTGTTGCTGCTGCTGCTGCTGCTGTTGCTGCAATTGCTGTTGTTGCGGTGACAGCAACGTTGCGGGCAACAATGTGGCAGCATCGGTGTCTTGTATGGGCAGGGCCACGCCTACTTGTGGCAGCACTGGCTGATACGATAGCACACTGTGATATGTGCGTGTGCGTGTGTGTGTGCGTGTATGTGAGTGTGCGTAGGTTGTTGTTGCCGTTGCAGATATTGGACGTTCGATAGGCGTGTATTTGTATGAAGCAAGCGAGCAATAAACAAATATCAAAGCACACACAGCGATGCGAATGGGATTATATATATATATATATATAAAGTGTAAGAATTATATATATATATATGTGATAAATTGTTGTTGTTGTTGGGTGCGCACAATAAGCAATTGAAATATGCAACGAAAATGAATATGTAAAAAAAAAAATAAATAAATAAATCAATAAATAACAAAAAATTAATTAAAATTGTGTTAAATATTATAAAAACTTGATTAGCATGCATATTTTAAAGCTAGAAAATTTTTAAAATGTATTCATATTTTTAGTTACACGTAAAATGTTTTGAAGTGGAAGTTTCATGAGATTTTTTTTTTTTTTTTGAGTTCTACCGAACTGTCTATTATCTATTGTATAAATTGCCTATTTGAAAGATCAAGATCAAGGAATCAAATATGAATTTACTTTTGAAAGAAACAAGACTGTTATTGCCTTTTATTAACCAAATAAATATATTTAAAAAATTTTTATATTCTAGAGGAGTAAGGAGTAAGCTGATATATTTGTCAGCAGAAAAGCCTGCACTTATAAAATTTTTAGCCTCAGCAGCCTTTTATTATTATATTAATTATGTCAAGCTGAAATATATTCTAAAAAAAAAAAAATTACGCTTATGCGAAATAAAATATTTTTCTGTTTGTTTGTTTCATAGATTTTTGAAATATTGTTGCTTTCAAGATATAAAAAAAAATATATATATATATATATTTTTGCAGGAATTCTGCATTCATTTTATGGTATGGTATTTTTATATAACTACTTTTAGCTGCAATATATGCAATTTAACAAATGAAATTGCCTTTTGCTTTCCTAAATTTGTTTTGGTAATACAAACATTTAAAAATAATTTATTTTGCTCTAAAAATCATCGATTTATGTGAGAGCCTTTTAGCTATTTTTGAGCATATTTTACTCTGAAACATTTAAATTATTTTTAAATAAAGATATTTGAAGTTTTGATTTAAAATTATTTTCAATTAGATTTTTATATAACATATTGATATCTTTTAAGCTTCAAAGTATTTGAGCTATGACACAATTTAAAAAAAAAGCAATTGAAATAAAAAAACATCAACAGCAATTTTACAGTTATTCTCCAAAGTTACTCGAATACAATAATAATTCAGGTGAATCGAATGCGGCACTTACCTTTGATTAGCGCTAATGGAAACTTCCGTGTGATCTTTACCAAATGAATTCAAATCAAATGAGATTTTGTTGTTTGTTGTTGTTGTTGTTGTAATGCAGTTGTGTATGCGTGTTTGTGTGTGTTGTTGTTGTTGTTGTTGTAGCACAATTTGTTGAGTTTTGGGCGCATTGAGTTTGGCAAGCAGCGTTTAAATGTATTGTGGTTGTTTGTTTGTTGTTGTTGTTGTTGTGGTTGTTACAGCGAGCAATTATTAAGTGAAGCAGCATAGAGACAACAATACATATATATGCGTGTATATATATGTTTGTATGTTTGTATAGATAATGTACATGTAAGTGTATGAATCAGATAGATAGATAGATTGTTAAGCAATAATTGGTTGAAACGAGATGCCAAGCAAAAAAAAAAAAAAAAAAAAAAATTAATTAAAAATGCAGCAAATAAAGCATATATAAAATGCAGACAAACAAAATATATTTGTATATATATAGATGTATATATGTATAACAGAAAAAACAACATTTATTCATTTCGTGTTGATGTTGTTGTTGTTGGTTTACGTTGCGGTTGTTAATTAGTTGTATATATATTTTTGTTATTGTTGTGGGTTTCGTAATTAATGTTTGTTTTTTTTTTTTTTTTTTTTTCGTTGTCGTTGTTGTTGTTAGAGTAGTCAACAGTGATGCGGGATCAAGAAGAATTATTGAGCACACACAAATTCAATAATATATATACGCGTTTTAATTGAAAAACAAAAAGAAATAAAACTTTAAATACATAATTATAATTTATATATAATTTTAGTTTTGTTTGTAAAGGACTCTTTTTTTTTTTATATACATATATATAATTTTCATAAGCTTTGAATAAATGACACGAAAAATGGATTTGAGTAAGAAACAGGGTGCTCTTTTTATAAGATTAAATAAATTGTTTAAACTGTTTAGGAAATTTAAATATAATATTTTTTCCAGCAGAAAAATAAATAGTTCTATATATAAATATTTTTTTTGGAAGTGATTATCTTCTTATTTTTATTAAAAAAAAAAAAAAACATTAAATAAATATAAAAATATATAAATATAAAAATTAATTTATTATTGAATTTTCTCTGTTGAAATATTTTAATATGAACAATTTTTATTTTATGTTTTTGCAATTATACAGTAATAAAAACACCCTGTGTAAGCATTTGTCGGTTTTCATTAATTTTAAATAAGCAAAGTTTACACAGCAAAGCGCAACACAAAGGCCTTAAAATCAGCACAAAAAAGGCAAAATAATTGCACAGAAAAAAACGAAAAAAATGAAATAACATTCTTAACCCACTTAATGAGGCAGCAGCGTAAACCGGATTTGAGATGCATTCAATTAAAAGCGATGTAATTCAAATGGCATAGATATAAAGCGAACAGGCTAAATACGTATCAGTTATAGTAAATGTCCTATAAGCCTAAATAGTCGTTGCATGCATTCAGGTCAATCAATTGGAATAATCGTTGGAAGGAAAACAAAGAGCCATGCAGAGAGACTGGGGCATGCTGCGTTATGGGCGCACAATTGAAATTGAATGAAATAATTATGAAACTTATTGGCAAATTGAAATCGACTTAAAAGAAATGCCAGAAAAATAATTGATAAATATATAAACTCGATTGGGTTTCAATTCTCTGTTTGCACTTGGTTTCGGGTCGGGCCTAACACTATGCTTGGGGCAATTAATTATCATAACTGACTGCACTGTATGCACAGTTATTAATTTAGCTGCAGTCTACAGCAGTAGTTGCTGTTGCTCTAGTTGTTGTTGATTGTACTCACATTTATCCTGACGCCGACGGCGACGGCATATGCAAATGATGATGCAACAAATGATGGCGACGGCCAGCAGGAGTAGCAATATGACAGCGACCAGTATAATGAGCGTCGTTTTATCCCATCTCTGCCACCAGGCCAATTGTTCTAAAGATACATAAAGAGAGTGTGAGAGAGAGAGAGAGAGGGAGAGAGAGGGAGAGAGAGAAAGAGAGATAGAGTATTGTATTAAAATGTGTTGGTATACGTTTGGCAGAACTCTTTAAGCACACACATGGTGAAAACTGAACAATGCATGCAATTCTTAACCAACTGACAGCTGACAGCTAAGCCCAATGCTGCCTACTTAGCTGACTGACTGACTGATTCACTGACTGACTGACTGACTGACTGACTGACTGCCGTTTGCAGTTGCTAACTTTAATTTATCAACTTGTCACATGGTTTTGCCATGCCTGGCATTAGCAATGCAGCTGCAGCTGCAACCGTAGCTGTTCCGCAGACACGCACGCACACAGATGCACAGATGCATTTTATATATTACTTACACAGCTTCAAGCCCCAGTTTTCAATCCCCTCCCCACACACTCCCCCACACTCCCCCACGCATTGTGGCATTGTCTTATGAAATTGTGCTAGGCAGCTGTAGCCGCATCCTTCAGCTGGCTTGTCTCTCATTGTTTTCCATATTTGCTATAATTCAGCTGTTTATCATCCAAACAAATGAATTGTCTTTGCCAGCAGCTCTCTCACTCTCGCACTGTGTGCGTGTGTGTGTGTGTGTGGCAGCTGCCTTTGTTCCGTGGCAGCGTTTATCTATGTTTGTTTTCCGAGTGTATTCACATATGTTATAAGCTATTCATTTTGGCATCGTATGCGGATTCGCGTGTCAACAACATTTAGCAGCCGCTCCTTCTGCGACCCGCCTCCTGCTCTTGCCCCTTGCCCCTTGCCACTGCTACTCCTACTCTATTCCTATCTTATGCAATTAAACAAGCGAGCGAGCGAGCGACAAATGAAAAATGGCGGCTTTTAGTTATAGTTCGGTGTGCGTGTGTGTGTGTGTGTGTGTGTATGTTATATGGATTAGCATTGGATTGTGGTACAGCAGCCGCTTTTATGTATTTCTCTGCCAGCTGCGGCTTTGTTTATAGCTTTAAACTAGTTTTTACATAACTAAGAAGCGAGCTATGCATTTCTGGGTACTTTTTAATACTCTCTATAATTTTGTATTCATAGCTAAACAATTTGTAGTTCACTTAACATGCAGTTACTTACTTTTTGGTCGCACTAATTAGTTAGAAGCATTTTCAAATGAGCATTATGAGTGATAAGCAAAGGGTAAAAGACAGAGAGAGAGAGATAGAGAATAATCGCAAATATTTATACATGTTAATACAGAGGATACTTTTTGGTTGTTTCTGGTGCTAAATTGTAATTTAGACAATAATTGGAATAGTTGCTCGAACTAGAACTGGGGGAAAATGAAAATCAACTCAAATCAAATCAAAATACTGTGAGCATTTGTGCTGGGCATTTACCTCGCCACCAAATATAAAGTGCTGAACCAGCTGTTAATATACGAGAAATACATCAAAATATAAAATATGATAATAGCAAAAAATTATAGAAAGTGTAGAAAATAAAAAAACTATTAAAATTGTCAAATGAGAGAAAATTCAGCTAAGACCAATAGAGAAAAAAGTTCTTTAATAGCTGGAAGGGCACAAGCCAAAGCGCTTAAATATAAAAAAGTGTTGACGTCATCAGCTGTCAAATTTCAATTTCAATTTCGATTTCAATTCCATCAAAGAAGTGTTATAAAAACTGGACACTCGGTCAGATTAGCTGAAAGGCTGCGCTGCTCTCTCTAGATATATATATACTTGACGGGCATTAAAATCGCGAGAGAAAAAAGCAGAGGAGAGAGAAGAAGCCAACTGGATTTCATGACTTAAGCAGCTGAAGAAAATCACAGCGCATAAAATAAAAAAATAAAAGAAAAATAAAAAAAAAGTAAAACGAAAAACGAAAAACTCGAACTGATTTTCGTGGAGCGCAGAAATCAATTTCCGTTTGGTTGTAATAAAACGTGGCGCATGTTACGATAACAGGTAAGCAAAAAGGCGGCGGCGGCGATGATGATGGGCGTGGCTGGAAATGGGTACTGCGCTGGGGCGCCAAATAATGCCCTAATTGCCACGGTCGGCCAAAGACGTGGCCTTGGCCGTGGCCGCCATTTTAGTTTAAAGCGGAAGCAGCTAGCCACCATTTTATGCAGCGCATAAAAAAATCAAATAACGGAATGCGCGTCCGCGCACCGGAAAACGGAAACAGATGAAGCAAATATTGACAGTAATCAGCTTCCGTTTGCCAGTTGTTGTTGCCGTTGTTGTTGTTGTTGTTGTTGTTCTGCTGAAATATTACTTACCAGCCACTTCAATCTCACAGAAGGCGCCCGCTCCAACGGAATTGTTAGCCACACAGCGATAGGTCCGGGCAATGGCATAATCCTCCTGCAGTATGTAAAAGCTCTTGTCCACATAGGTCTTCTTGTCGCCAGCACCCAAAGTCTCGACTGTTTCATTCTCAGCTTTAATTGACCATGAAAAATCGGCCTGTAGAACACACATGAAAAGAGAGAAACAGAGATAGAGAGAATGAAAGAGAGAATTAGTTTTCGTTTCAGTTCAATATGCGAGCTGGGGCACAAATTGCCTATTGAAGCTATGCAAATCCTAGTCTGGCTCTGCATTTTTTTTTTTTTTTGAGTTTTGCTTTGCATTCTGATAAATCTGGTTCTGTTTTTTTTTCACATTTTTGTCATATTTCTTGCATTTCTTTCTTTTTTTTTTTTTTTGTTGTTGTTGGTTTGCTTTGAAGTCTCTAGTTGAGTTATTAGAGACGAATGGGTTTAACTACTCAAAGGTGCTATTTGGTCTAGACGAATATGAATTATTTCGTTACTTGTGAATATGAAATGAGTAGGCGAAATACATATGTATATACATATTAATAATATATGAATATATTTTATAAAAAATTCATAAATCAACTGGGATATTCCCAAGAAATGATGTTCCTCTGTTGAATTACTTTCTCTGCTTAGTTAAAAAAAAATATGTAAAATTATATATTTTAAATTCAACACTTTTTTTTTCAGCACTCAGTGCTTGCTTGGCCTGTTGAACATCTTTAAAAAAAAAACTTTCAGCTAGAAACGCTGCGAATGCCCGGCCAGGCGCGCCCACATCGATTCGCATCAATTTCTCATCTGATTGCATGCTACGTTATTAAATTTTAACTTTACGCCCGTTGAATAATTTCCAATCAAATAATTACGAGCCACCGAGTTTGCCCCACACACACACACACACACATACGCACACACACTCGCTGTGGTTGCCTGGCTGGCTGTGTGTGCGTGGCAATAAATCTTTGGGCCAACCTGCAGGTTATAAGCCCGCACTCGCCCCTCCACCAGTCTGCCTTAATCGCCAGCACGCTTTAACTCAAGTAACGGCAAAGCAAATGCAATTGCAAAAATGAAAAAAAAAAAAAAAAAAAAAATGGAAAATTGTGCCGGGCTGAGAATGGGAGGAAAAAAATGCTGCACTGATTTATGCGGCATGGCACAAAAAGTGCGAACTCCAAACTGAAGTTGGGAGTCGAGTTGGTTCGTCGCTTGCCACTTCGCTGCTCTCTCTCTCTCTCTCTCGCTCTCTTCCTCTCTCTCTCGCTGGCTGCGACTGTTACAGCCAGCAGGAGATCCGGGTTCCGGCCAAAAGGTAAACTCATAAAATTGAAAATACTTGCAGCTACCTGCATTCCCAAAGAACTGCACAGAAATAAAAACAGAAAAAGGAGAACTGCAAAAAGGCGATGCAAAACCTCTATCCGCTGCCGTAACCAGCCATCATGGCATGCACCACAATTGAAATGCTATCGTTATTACCATTTCGATGGCCTCTGCACAGGGAATCGAAATGCCTCTCCCCTTCTACACAATTCTTTTTTTGTGAGCAAGTGCGGGCGTTGGCGTTAGACTAGGGTTTGTCATTGTTTTTTGAAGTGTTTTTCTAGCTAAGGGTATTACGCAGCGATTAGAGAGTTTGCCATTCAAAATTACAGAGTTGGCATTAAATTGTAATATATGTTAAATCTTGAAATAATGAATATTAATGTAACTAAATTCTTTTTAAATACAAAAAATGTAGTTATATTACTATTAAATATTTCAATATTCAATACATTTCCATTTGACAATATGTATATGGAAAAACTTTTTAAATATATTTATAAAAAATTTATATTAAAAATAAAATATATATATTAAATATATATAAAACCACTCGTTTAATTTTTTAAAATTCACAACTTCTTTTTCGGCAGTTTTAAAGTTAATATTGAATTAAAATTATCTGCCTGAATTTAATAATAATTTATTAATAAAAATAAATATATATTTGATAGTTATTATTTGTTATATTTATATTTTAGTTTATTTATTTATTCTTAATAATTATTATATATATAACATTTATATATTAATAATATCATTATATTTCATTTAATATATATATATTTTTTAAAATATTTATCCAAATACTTCTTTCATATGTATGCTTAGCTATTCTGTTTAATTTATAAAATTCACATTATCATTCTAATTCATTTCCAATTCACAAGCACTTCACATACTCACAAACCCATATAAGCTGAGATTTTTTTAGGGTATTCCTGCTTCTGCTTGTTCTCATATTACTTTATTTTTGAACCCTTTGCTTAGTGCTGTGCACTTTATTGACACTCACCTCTTCAGGATTTCCGTATGCGGTGCAAATTAGCGTATCCTGATCATTGATTTCTCGCCTCTCGATTTCACAGCGTGGCGTAACTGCAGCAAGTCGAATGGAAGGAGAAAAACAAAACAAATAATCATTGAAATTTAGTAGCTAAACATCAAATTGTCTGTCTCGGCTTTCTCTCTATCTCTTTCTATCTATCTCCTTCTACTTACATTGAACATCGATAACAGTTTCGGCAATCCGATCTCCGTGCTTATTGCGCGCTCTGCACCTGTAGATGCCCGTATCATTGCGCTTGATGGGATCGTTGATAATCAGCGTGTTGCCCATTGTCACCGTCTTATTCGGATAGAGCCACTCGTAGGACGGTTCTGAAAGAGTTAAAAGAGAAACCCAAGTGATGTAGCCAATTGCAGTTGCAGAGAGTGTAGAATTGATTTGTTTTACCTGGATTAGCCTGCGATTTGCATATGACACGTCCCGGTATATGATGCTCCTGCACATAGACAATGTTCTCCGAGACGCTGATGTCATTCGGTGCGTCTGTGGAAGAGGGTGGAATGAGGAGTTTGTGGGACTGTGTCTGATTGTCTGGCATGTCATACTCACATTCAATGCTCAAGTAGGTGGTGCTGTTCACTGTGGGCCCCACCGCGTTCGATGTCGAGATGCACATGTACTTGGCGTTATCCGATTCGATATCGAATTTCTTATTCGGAAAATTTGACATATTGAAGTGCTATAATCACGAGAAAACAAATCGAACATGAAAATATGTCATTTACGTGAATTGGGGATGAATCAGCCACGAGAGCTGAGAGTCGCGTCGCAGCTGTCATACGATGCGGGGCTAAACAATTCAAATTAATTGGCAATTTCATATAGACTGAGTTGCTCATATGAGACAAGTGGATAATAAACGTATTTGATGTGGGATCAAATGAGAGGAACATTTTCGAATTGCTGATGTAATAATTGGTTTGATTTGATGAGGTTTTGCTGAATTGGATAGAGACAGCTAAGAGGGATGGAGCTATTGCTGCTGTAATACCCATATCAAAAGAATGATTACATTTAAAAATTGGTCAACAGTGAAGATGTCAATGAAAAAAATAATAAAAAATAAATAAATAAATAAATGAAATAAAAAAGTGAAATTAAATTTGAATATATAAATTAAATTAAATAAATATTAAAAAAAAATATATATATATATATATTAAATATTAAATAAAAATTATATGTAATATTTTGGACTTCAAAAAAAAAAAAAAAAAAAAAAAATAAATAAATAAATAAATAAATAAAAAAAAATAAAATAAAATAAATTAATTAAAATTGTCCTTACTATAAAAAAAAAAAAAATATTTTGAAGAATAAGTAAAGTAAAAAATAAAAATAAAATTTATTGCTCTGTTTCAATGGATTGAAAATAGCTCAGATTACTTTTCTTATCTCACAGACAACCAAATTATCTTAAATTATATATTATATTATAATATTCAAGTTATATACATATATTACTATATATATATCCCAAATACTCTTAGCTTTAAGACTGGATAACTTTTTTCTGCCAGCTTTATATACGACTTCAGCCCAATTCAACTCTTCGAGCAGGGTTAATTTGTTGAGATATATGCACCCCCAGCCATTGATGGGCAGCACTTACCAGAACGGAAAGCATGCTCTCGAAATCGCCCGTAGCGGGCGAGGCATCCATATACTTCTCTTTGACAAAGTAGCGGGTATCATTCTTGTCAATTGGCACGCCATCCTTCTGCCAGGAGATCTCGCAGCGGGGCACGCACTCGATGCGGCAGGTCAGATTGAAGTTGGACACGGAGTGAAGGACGCCCGTGTACGGCTGCATATTCTTGATGAAAAATGGCGGCGCGTGTACCTCCAAATTGACAGTGGCCATGGCGCCCTTGCCGCCCTCATTGTACGCGTAGCAGGAGTAGTTGGTGCGGCTGTCGAGGCCGACGGGCTCGACGGTCCACTCCTTGGTGACGATGTCCTGCAGCGGTCCACGGCCGCCGCGCAGCCAACGGTATCTGTTGGGTTGCGAGAGCGTTTGAGCCACATACATGAATTTGCCCATTTTGCGGTAGAGTGCATAGGATGCGGTGGTGGATTCGGATGAGTAATCAAATGGATGCCCCCCATTGTACAGGGTTAAGATTTGTGATTGTGGCATGTAGGTGGTGAGCGTGAGCAGAGTACAAAGGGAATGATTCAAATGTAAATCGATTAGAGCATGCGTTTCTTTAATTTGATGAGCTGTCGAATGCACGGCACTCATGCCGGACAGTGTTGATAATGTTGATGATATGTGTGTGGGATTAAGCAAATGCTGTTGTTGTTGTTGTTGTTCGTATGGTTGTTGCTGATGTGGTTGCTGCTGCTGTTGCTGCTGCTGTTGCTGTTGCTGTTGCCTCAGCTCTTGTTGCTTTTGCAACAGCAGCGCCTCAAAAGCGGCATCTGCCTCATGCGGTTGCAGTGCCTGAACCGTGTGATACGCAATTTGTGGTATGGATGTGTTCATGTTGTTGTTGTTGCTGTTTTTGTTGCTGTTATTGGTCTGTGTGGCGGCTACAAACCTATTTGATTCGGGATAGCCCGGATCATCCACGGCACAATAGAAAATGACGCTCTTCTTCTTGATGGCAATCGGTGGAAAGTGCGTCAAAGTAGCTGGCCCCGGCTCATAGTGCACCTGCGTACGTGCGAGAGAGAGAGTGAATGAGAGAGTGTGAATGAAAGAGAATTGAATTTACTATAAGCTCACACTTACCATCAGCTCCTTGTCCTCGCTGCGTGGTCCCCAGCCAGCGGCATTGTAGCCCTCGCAGGAATAGTTGTAAAAGAAGCCACGCCCAATGCTCTCCAGCAGCAATTTACTGGGGTCAATGTGACATAAATCCTCCTGGGAGCGAAAGAACGGAAGATGGTAAGCAAATGATATATAGTGAAAGTGTGTGAGAGAAAGAGAGAAAGAGAGAGAGAGAGAGCAGCTGCTCCTTGACTTACTCTAGTTTCCTCGCAATCTGGCAGCTCTTTGAGCAACGTGGAGTTGGCATACCAACGCACTTTGGTCAGCACAGATGGATTGGCATCCAATATATTACAGAACAAAGTGACATTAGACTCATCGCTCTCCTTGACAGGTCCCTCGGGTATCATTTGTACCTCGACAATGGGCACATCTAAATGAGAAGAATCAATTCAATAAATATGTGATACATATTAAAAATATAATATATTTATATAGGGCCTTTTATAGCTCTTCACTTACACTGCACATCGAGATCGATTTGCTGCTCGGAGACGCCTTTGCCTATCGAATTGGATAGCTGGCAGGTGTAGTTGCCAATGTCCTCCTTGTCTGTTGATCTAATGACTAGGGCGACATTCTCGGAGTTGCCGCCCTGATAGCGATCCGTATCGTTGACATTAACAATGTCGCCGTTGCGATACCTGCAAGGAGCAAAGAGCAAGAGTTGCACAATCAGTTCAGTTCAGTTCGGTTTGGTTCAGTTTGGCTTAGAGATATTTGCCAGACAAACGTTGTGGGGCATAATTAAAGATGCTTTCCTAGTTAGTTAGGCTAACCCAGCTCAAGCTAACAAACAGACAGGCAAACACACAGTTATTTATGAGACAACACGCATGTATGACAGAGAGAGAGGGAGAGAGAGAGAGGGGGAGCTAGGGCGTCTGTGTGTGAGGGAGTGGGCGTAGGGCCAGCCCTCTCTTGTTGGCTATTTAAAATTTATAGGCACGTCTCAGTGTGTTTTTGCTTTCATAATAACAGAGAGAGAGACTGAAAGATTGTATGAGAGAGAGGGAGGTAGGCATTTAGAGCGAGACAGCGCTAGTGTAAGCTGCCTGCATTGTCAATGCATCTCGACTACTTTTCAGGCTCACAGCCAGACAAGAGAACTCGAAAATTATGTCAAATGTGCATTTGAGCCTTCGCATGTTTGCTGCGTCGTTGCTGCTGCTGCGGCTTCACTGTGCCACAGCATGGCACAGAGCTCTAGGCAGCCCTGGCCAGCTCGAGTCATGAGCATTGCTAAATTGAACTTCAAGCAAACATCAAATACTTGAACTTTAAAACTTTTCGGGCGTCTCTACAATTTGCTAGCAGTTGCAGAAGTTCGCTCGGCCCATAGAGCTTTGCCTGCTGTTTGCTTTACTACTGTCTGGGCTGACTTTAACTATTGAGAAATTTCAGCTGCAGCTACGCACTTGTGGCTGTCGCCGGGGCTGACCACGAACAATGCCAGATTCCTCAGTCTCGATTTATTGTTTTATTTGCATTCTTCATTTTATGGTTTTTTGTTTATTGTTTTTTTTTTGTTTCCCCGGTGGCATTAAAACAATTTTACGCCCGCTGCTGTCTGGCTATGGAACAACAACAACAACGGCGCAGTCACGTGTGCGTTTGGGAGAAATTAAAAAATGCATTGCATACTTTACAGGGCTGCAAAAGAGGCACACGGCATAAATGGAAATAATATTGGCCACGGCTCTCGCACTGGCGTCCAGGTTTGTGCCGTTGCCAAGGCTCAGTATAAATTTTAATTGATTTACAATAACAGCGAAAGAGACAGAGAGAGAGAGAGAGAGAGAGAGAGGGAGAGGGAGAGGCAGAGAGAGTGAGTCGTTGCATAAAAAGTAATTTTGATCGCTGCATTCCAGTTTTTCCTCCTGTCTGGCTGATGAGCTGAGTAATTTTCAGTGTTGCGGCCTCGTCGATTTAATGAGTTAACGCCCGCCGACTTCTGCTTCATAAATCCGGGCATATCATCGGCGCTGGACAAGCGTAATTAATTTTAATTATTTGCTGCGCCCAAGAAAACAAAAAAAACTAACGAAATTTGCGTGTTTCAGTCTCACTATCTCCCTCCCCCTCCCTCTCTCTTTCTCTCTCACTAACTACTATTCCGTCTGTGTCTAGTTTAGTGCGGAAATGTGCGTCCAGCTGGGGAAATGCTTTTAATGGCAAACGGAAAAGGTATTGAAATGATTTTTATACATCTTGAGAGCAGCTGGCAAAGTGTTTCCACACACACACACACACACACACACACACACACACACACACACACACACACACACACACAGACAGAGTGAGACAGCTACTCATTAATAAACACATGTGTATGTATGTGTAATGCGTGTGCGTGTGTGTTTGCCAAGCAACATGAGGCAGACATTTTTAATTGGTTCGAAGCAGCTCCTGGCATTCGAGCCAACTTTGCCTTTTGTCGTCAACAAGCCGTAAAGTCAACTTCTTTTTTCTTTCCTTCTGCTTCTTCTTCGTCTTCTTCTTCTTTTCATGGCCTGAGGCAAATTTTGTGGTTTATTGCCAGTCGCTTAAATAATTCAACAATTACAATTACTTTTGTGGTGATTTATAAATTATGTGCACACATACAACGAGTGTGAGTAGAAAAGGGTGTGCACGTGTGTGTGTGTGTGTCTATGTGTGCGCTGTCTATAGGCTTGTTTATTCTAATGTTAAGGGTTGCTTTTGCTTCTGCTTCGGCGTTTGCCATTGTTCTGTCTGCGAGTTTTCGGGCTCGTAAACAGTTACAGTGCCCAGGCCTTGGCCTCGAACAAATTAAGATTAATTTTATGTAAATATTTCATGCCGTGTGCCCGCCTGGGCAGAGGTAGAGACATCGAGAGTGCATAAAACAATGCCGATTTGATCTAATGTTGATCATTATGCCTGATTGCAATTGAATTATATTACGTGAGAAAGCATTTTAATGAATCGCCAGTAAATCAAACAAATGGATATGTGCCCCGACTGCCATAAACGAATACATACAGATATATAGATATAGAAGAGCCATATGACTTTAAATGCTGCTGGGCAATTAGCAAATGTTACCTTTAAAATCCAATTAATATGCATTTTAGCAGCTGGGCTGCCATGCAACCGGGTTGGCCCAACAATTGTGGCTCCACATGTTGGCCCCAAAAGGTATGCTACACAAATTCCGCATGGCCTGCTCCACGAAATTTTCCACTGTCTAAATTTCATGCAGAGCTCTAACACTCTTACTCTCTCAGTCTCGCTTTATATACATATATAAATTTCTTTTTTTTTTGCTGAGCCACAGACCAGAGGCCAGAAAAAGAGAGAGAGTGCGAAAATGAGAGGGAATTTGGAGTGAAGCGCAAATGAAATGCCTGCTAAATAAATTTTCTGTGTCACTTCTGTGTGTGCATTTAATTTCTCAGCTGGCATTAGGATAAAAAGCGCAAAATGTGAAGAAAAAAATAGAAAAAAGAAATGTGAAAAGTGAAACGAGTCACTGTGAATAGTGAGCGCGCACGCAGAGTGAAATGCGAAAACTTGAAGCGTGGAATAGGCTTGTAAAATGCAGCCACTTGACACAAACAGACAGGCAGACAGACACGCGCACACACACACACTGACTCACAGCGAGTGCCAGACGACATGTGTGTGTAGGTGAGTGTGTGTGGGTGTGCATAGTGCTGCTTCCATCTTCATTCATCATATGCGCGAGCTGCTGTTGCTGCTGCTGCAATTGTTGTTGCTGTTGTTGTTGTTGCTGCCGTTGTTGTTGTTGCTGTTGTGTAATTAGGAATTCGTGTGGCGTTGACATTAAATATCGCTGACAGCATCTGCCTAAATGGAATGCATTTCTCAGCCCTATTTAACAAAAGCTGTGCGCATTTGCAATTTTCATAGATAAAGTTGCGAAATTCGATCGGCACAGACCGACTAGGAAATGCTCTGAAATTACTTGGATAGGGTGATTCAAAGTGAAATTGGCTAACATAGTTATGTAACTTGAGACAAGATATGAATTGATTATATAGAATTATATATAAAAGTATTATATTATACACATGTATAAAAATATACATATAATAATAATACTAATTTTATACATCAGCAAGCATCAGCTAAGGCTAAATCAAGTCAGATGTTGCTTCTGATCCAGAATATATTCATTTATATATATTTGATAAATTTTTATATACATTTTAATATATTTTTTATAGATATTTAATAATCAAGAATATATTTATTGATAAATATATATTTGATAATTTTTAAAATATGTTATATCAATTTTAATTTAATTTTATAAATATTTAATATTTTTTAAATATTTTATATAAATATATTTTGTATAAATATATTTTATATATTTTTTATATACGTATTTTTTTGTATAAAATTTTATAAACACATTCTTTATCAAAGGCAACAGACAAGTTAATATATACCATTTCCTTCTAGTCTTTTTCTTATTCTATTAAATAGATAATAAATAATTTAATATAATATGTTCAATATTTTCATTGATCATATAAAATATTATTGAAAAGTTTTTTAATGCTTTCGCCTTAAATTCAACTGAGATTTACTAAAAATATTATAAAATATGTATTATTATTAATTCTAAAAGCCTTCTTCGAACTAATATTCAAACTAATTAAAGTTATCTCGTTTATCTCTAGCTACCTCATCTCTATTTCATCTACACTCTGTAGACTTTCGTTTTACGATTGCAAAGCATGTTCGAATGTTCGCTTATCAGAGTCTTTTCATTCATTAATGAAAACTTTCAAAATCCACTTTAGTTCATAATTTCCGCTGCTTTTACCTAAAATTTGGTTTCATTCACCTCGCTTTGCCTGCCTCGGCGCCATCTAAGCTGAACTTTTTAGCCCCTGCAAACACTCATTCCCATTCACACACGCAGCGAATATCGCGCATACGCCACGTGCTCGCGCTGGCATCAGACAAATTAATACGTTCTCAGCGCTGGGCAGAGAAATCTGTGAATGGGAATTGCAATTGCAATTTGCATGCATTGCATGCGCATCTAATGGCCGCGGTATGCTGGCCAAGTTTGTTAGACACAACCATGCAGTGGCTCAACGCGCCGCCCCCACATCTCGTTGCCATCGCTCGCTCACTAATTTGCCAGCCAAGCAGCCGAGCAATCGAGGCAGCGAGGCAGCGAGGCAGCGAGGCAGTTGAGGTGGCGCATTTGGGGTTGGGTTGCCATGCCGATGGCCAAAGATTCTGCATTATGCGTGCCTGCTGGCCGCTCCACAACATTTCAGCTGCTGCAGCGACTACTACAACTTGCTGATGGGTTTTGCATGACTGTTGTTTGTCTTTGGCGCGACTGACGTTTACACTGCTCAAAAACTTTGTGCGACATGCCCTAGCAGCAAAAATTGTCACTAATTATGCGGCTATGCCTTTTTGTGTTGAATTGAGTGCCAAAATTGTTGAAGCGAGCTCGCATATGAGCGCAGTAATACCATGTGAGCCATGGAATGTGGGGAATGAAGCGAAACTAGAGGGTGAACTAAATTTCAGTAAGAGCTAATATGATCATATTTATGGGAGGAATATATTTAGTGTTAGTCACATCTGGACATTTAATATTTATAGGCAATATTATTATATTCCATAATGAGTCAGCACTCGAATACAATGAAAATATATGATAAAAAATATATGGAATAAGTGCTTATCTATATATTTGCAGGGTTGGAAATAAATATATATAATAAGTATTAGAAAAATATAAAGTTAATGAGCTCGATATGAAAGAGAATCTATTTATGAACATAAAATATAAAATATAAAATAAAAAATATAAAATATAAAACATAAAATATAAAACATAAAATATAAAATATAAAATATAAAATATAAAATATAAAATATAAAATATAAAATATAAAATATAAAATATAAAATATAAAATATAAAATATAAAATATAAAATATAAAATATAAAATATAAAATATAAAATATAAAATATAAGATATTAGATATAAAATATTTAATATATTAACTCCTATGTATAATAAAATAAAAAATAAAAAATAAATTAAAATGACAAATTCGTTAAATAAATTCTATAATATTGTGAACTAATAACTAGACTGATTCGACATTTATTTATATTTATAAATAAAAACATAATTCTGTACAAATTATCAACTCTAGATTTAAGAGTTTAAAAGACTATAGAAATGAAAATTGTCAGACAATTTACAACCTGCATGTGTATACAACCTTGAGCCAGACTTCTTCTACGCCTGATACACACTTATTCAACTCTCTTCAATGTCTCTCTCTGTGCACTCTACACACTCATAGAATCCCACTTCAAGCTCTTTGCCTTTGTATCAATGCAATACTTTGTTGCATTCGTTCATTATTGTATTAATGCCATGCTTAAGTGGAATTGTGTGTGCCACAGTAATTTCTCTATGTTTAGCTGGCATGCAGTCGTGCAACAGTCTATGAGTTCTGTACAACAACAACAACAGCAACAAAAAGCTATAAATTCTGGTTTACATTGCTCAAACTCTTTTTGCGATTGGCATTACGCAATTGCGAGGTTTGTTTTGATTTTCAGCAGATAAATGAATGTGAGTTGCGTTTCGCTCGATGATGTGTATCTGTTTGTATGTGTGCCTATCTCTCACTCTCTGTCTCTCTCTCGCTCTTAGTGACTGTGTGTACCCAATTTACGCACTTGACGTTGCTGCTGTTGCGTAGATTTGAACTCTTGTTGCCTATTTACTTTTGTATTTGTTTTTAATTAGATTTTTGTTTACTGTGGAAATTTTAGTTTAATTGAGTTCTGCTGCGCCACAGCCTCAGTTGCCTCTGACTGTGACTGTGACTGTGACTACCTGTGACTCTGACTGCGACTGCTGTGCTGCCTGGCTTCACAAATCACATAAAGTGCCAGCTAGCCGCAGGGCCTCAGCCCTGTTGCCACCTCTGCAACAAAGCGCGCGTCAGTTCTTGCCTCTGGTCGCATGCGCTGTCTCATTTTAGCACACATCGCCCTGTTGCCGTCTCTGTCACATGTGCGTGTATTTTGTGTGCTGAATTTAAAAGCAATTTAAATTCGTTTGCCTTTCGCTTTTGACTTTGGTGAGTAGCGCGTTTCGTTTATTTTATTTTCTCTTATTTTTTTTGTTTTAGTTTTTATCATGATTTTTTTTTGTTATTTAATTTTTTTTTTTTTTTTTTTTTTGGGTTTCTGTGGGGACTTACCAAACGACCTGCGTGAGCGAGGCTGGATTCGCCACATATTCGCAATTGAGCAGCACAATTTCGCTGGTATTTGTGACCATTTCCGGTGGACTGACCTTGACAACGGGTGGATCTGCATGAAGAGTGGGAGAGAGGGGAGGGCAAGAAAATGATGAGTGAGTTTACACAAAAACGATTAAATTTTAATTTTAATGAAGAGTAGAGTTTAAGTTATGGCGCTTTACAACACTGTTCTTCACTTACACATAACTTCCAGGGTCAGATCCGATGATATGGGCTTCTCGCGATTAATTTGCAGCACAATATTCTCAGCCTCACAGCGGAAGACGCGATCGTTCTCAAAGCGCGTAGCATTAAAGATCAGTTCCGACTGCGTGTGATAGGTGCCGTCCTCCTTCTCAAACTATACAGAAGTAAATTAAATTGTATTAGTCTAAGCAAAACTAGACAGCAGTTAATACTCACAGCCTTGGTGCGTATTTCAGTGAGTTCGTTCTCCTCGGCGCTGATAATCGAAGTTGAATTATACCAGGTTAGATTGACTGCGGGCCGTGCGCCGTGTATCTGTGTGTAGTGGTAAAGAAAACACCGTCAATTTAGTCTATTTGCGTGTACAGCGCTGCCCAATGGGGCGTATGCGTTATGTGATTCGCTGCTCAGCAGCGGCGGGTGGGCGCCACTTGGCGACAAGTCGAGGCAATTGCCATTAAATTTCCATTAGCTGGTGCGCATATACATGCATATATTGCCATTACGGGGGAACAATTTTTACCTGACTGTCAGCCAGGTAGCTACCAGCTAGCTAGGCAGTAAAACAATTGCATAAAATTCCATTAAACATAATACGCAATCAATAGACAATTTTGCATAATTTTACACAGTGCACTGTGCCGGCAGGTCCTTTCGCTCAAAGTGCTGCTAAACTGCAGCCAATTGAGCGCTTTTCCATTAAAATGCAATCGCAACAGGCCAGACACAAGGCAGGCGCAGAGGGCCAAGCAAATGACAAGGCATTGTCATTGACTGGCTACAAAAGCTCAGTCGCACTCACACTCTTCTGCTTCTGTCTCTGTCTGTGCCTTGGCTCGTTTCATAGGCCACACCCACACACACACACATATGCTCTGGTTGTGGACGAAAAATCGCAAAATAATTGACAGTTAATTATTGTCAATTACTTGGACTGCAACGACAAAGCACAAGCAGGAGCAGCAGGAGGAGCTCAGTAAACCTAAAAGCTGTCAACTCTACAGTGCAGCATATAAAGGACAAGGCTTTACGGACTGCATATGGAAAGTCCTTCGAAAGGATCTAAATCCATAGAAGCAGTTTTATTTGTTGACTGAAATTTGTATGTAAGACTGAAGAGTTTAAGAAACAATACGACGTATGTATGCAGTATTTATGTATATAAGTAATATATTTGTAGAGTATATTGAAATTTTATTCAGAATTGAAATTTGATATCGAAATTGAATTATTATATTATTATGGAAGAATTTTTACAACTTTAAATTTAAATAATATTTGTTAAATTTAAATTGTTAATCATTTACTTTAAATAAATTCAAATTTTAATAATAATTAAATTATGAATTTTTAGCTTTTCAAATAATATATTCCAAGTAGGAATTTTGCTAATTAGTGTTCTTTTTTTTCAGGATTTTATATGCTTACAATATTTATTTATACAAATTCTATTAATATACATCGAAAGAAATCTGGATGTAAATACATTGATAATCATATGTGCTAGACAAATATATATCGATGGGTGAATTTATAGCGATATTTAATTTGTCCTTGCACTTTATGCGTTCAATATTTAAATCAAGATTTCTAGCCATATTAAATATTCTATATAATTTGATATTCCATCAAATCCTTGCCCATGTGCTACTGCTAGGCCTGAACGCAGTGTCCCCTCATGAGCCCCATGTAAATCAAGTTTACGTTTAATTTAAAGTTCAGCCAATACTTACGTCACATGTTAGCACCACTTTGCTGCCCTGCACCGTGTGGTGCTCCACTCCGTTGATGGCGATGCTCGTCGGTCGCACTGCAAGAAGGAAAATTAAAAAAATGGTGAGAGGCGAAGAGTAGTTTGGGGTGTCTGTTTGAAAATTGCTCGAAAATGCTCGACTTGTAATTGGGTTTTGTCTGGGCTCTAGGCAATGCATGTTATGCTCGGCTCTGCTATCCACTCCTATCCTCTCCTCACCTCGTTTCGTTCATAATATAAAACATTAATAATGGCAATTTGCATGCGGCTGGCCTGCCTAAGGCGTATATCGAGTGCCATTACCTACATTTTCAATTGATTGGTAAATGTTTCGGGCTTGGGGTATGGCTGGGCTCAATCAATCAATTGACTGCGTCCACTTTGCAAATGAAAAACTTGGCTTAGTTGGCTTAGTTTTATGTTGCCCTTAATGACATTCATTAATTGCTGCAACAAAAAATGTCAAATTATTCGTCAATATGAGAAAAAAAAAGCTGAAAGGTCCTTGGAGAATTTGTCAGTAGAGAGAGGGGGAGGGAGAGAGTAAATGTCACTCGATATTGTCAGCATTTAATTAGAAAAAAATTTATTTGCATGACTTTCAAAACGCTCTCCGGTGCCTAAGGGATTCTGTTCGTGTTGCTGCTGTTCCTATTGTTGTTGTTGTTGTTGTTGCAATTAAAAGGGTTGCCCCGAAAATTCAGTTTGGGTTCTTGTGCCTGTTGGGTTAATGAACCCCAAACATGTCAAAGTGTCGCGTGAATGTTGTCGCTGTTGTTGTTTTAGCCCTTTGCAAATTTATTACGCTTTTTAATTAATGCTAATTAAAGCAACACAATCGAATGCGTTTTTTATACAACAAAAATTAAAACAATGTGTAAACAGCTTTAAGCTGTAATTTGTCAATTGAAGTTAAATCGATATAAAATATTGTTGCCATTAAATGAGGAATCACGGAGGCTTATTTAAAGAAATCTCAATTGGTGAATGATTTAATATAATACCTATGTTTTTTATTATTTTAATATATTTTATATATTTTTTATTTATTTAATTTTTTTTTTTTAATTTTGTACCTCTTTTCTTTTTGCGCAACAAAATATTTTTATATGTATATATATATATATTTATATATATTTTTTAAAAATATTTTTATATTTTTGTATGTATTAAAAATATTTGTAAAATGTAAAAATTCAATGAAGTTTAATACAAATTTAATTTCATATAAATATTCAAGGTATTTACATTTTATAATACAAATAAAAGTGAAGTAAATTTTCATTAAAAGTAATTCAGGCTATTCTCATTTAATATATCCCAAGTTTCATTAGTGAGTTTTAGGACTTTCGACTAGCGAAATTTTATGAGCAACCTTTCCGGGCGGAACATTGTATTTTATGCACTGTAAACTGGAAAACAAAGTCGTAAAACGAACCCTTTTTCCCCTAAGCAACTCATATAACTAAGCACTCTAAGCACACCTACATAAATATATTGCCAATTTCTGACTCATAGCTGGCTTTTATGATAGACAGAGACAGAGACAGCGAGAGGGAGAGAGCAGTTGTTGCGGCTTATGTTTATCGTTTATCGTTTATTGTTTATTCTTTATCGCTGTCGCAATGATGACTCACCTTGCAGATCGACGCCGAATTTGGTAACAATTGCATTTTTAATAGCCGCCGACTCGACGCGGCATTCAATGTCCTGTGCCAGATCCTCGCGAGACAGAGCCCACTCCAGCTCGAGTGTGGATGTGTAGAGGCCATCGTGCAAGTCATGAGTAGGCGAATCTGTGCAGCAGAAAGAGAGAGGGAGAGAGAGATAAGAATTTATTCAGCATAAGTAAAGGTGATCCAACTGCTCACGGCAGATTCCCAATGTATTTGCCAGCTTTTACGTTTTCTGTTCTTCCAGGTGCGTTATTCTTCTAATTACAAGCAATTATGATGAAGCAAAGGCTTTTATAACCAAAAATAAATACAATTTTGCTTGAAATCAAAGATCGGTTGGGTCGAATCGACGGCCCGTCAGCCCCAAAAAGGGTTGCAAACCACAGACCGAAGGCCAATTAGAGGGCCAAAAGCACAAAGTAAAAAACCCCCCAAAAAAAAAGAAGAACAAAAATTTATATACAGGAAAATGAAAAAGAGAAAACGAAAATGAAAATGTTGTTGCCGCCTTTGTAAATTGCTGGCCGGGATTTTCAGGGCATAAAAATTACTTTAAAAGCCTTTCAAAGCCGGCGCACGGTAAACCGACAAGATTCCACAAGCATTTCGAGTGGCGGCGGCTTTAAATTCTGATTTAGCTAATGTAATGGATGTTGGGCTTTTAAAATAGAAATCAATTAATTTCCACTGGAGCTGCAGCGCGGCCTCTTAAAAATTTAATGAAAATCGCCTCAAAGTTTATTTTTATGCCCTACAATAAAAGGGGGCTTGCCATTTTATGGGCGTGGCCGAGCACATTTGCCTATGCCAAGGAGACCAATCCAGAAAAAAAAAACCAGAAAATAGAAGAAAACTGACATTGATAAGCAGCCAAATCCTTCCGTGGCCTGGACCTGGCTTTATGACCCCCCATCACCATCCCCATCCCCATCCCTCGCTCGTGAGCCACTGCATAAACGTTGTGGCGCATCGTAAACCAGCCCTACCTCCATTCCCAGCTTATGCATCAAATTGGCTGCTTAGCCTCGCCCCACTCCCCTCTAAAAGCTCCGCTCAAGCATTTGGGGAATCAATAAACGCGCTTCAGCAGTTTTTATGACGCAGCACGAGTGAGCAAAACCTTTATGCGATTTGCTACCTTCGCTGGCTTCGGTTAAGGGCAATACTCACATGTGGCCAGCCGCTTGCTGCCACGCCACCAGCCCACATCTGGCTGGGGTCGTGTGTTCTTCACCGTACAGGTTGCCTTCAGGCTCTGGCGCTCCTGCATGGGTCCCACGATGCTGCCGTTCTCGATGCGGTCGCCCTTTGCGTCCAAAATCACGACCTCAGTGGGTGGCACTGCATGTCCAACATCCAACCACATTCGTGTGTGAGTGTGTGTATGTATGTATGTGTGTGCGTGTGTGCGTGTGTGTTTGTATGGGTGTGTGTTTGGTCGTGCGTAGTTCAAATCAATTTTTTTTTTTTTTTTTTTTTTTTTGCATTTTTGCATATTTTTTTACATTATTTTTTCAATTTTTTTTTTTTTTTTTTTTTTTTTGTTGGGAGGTAAAAATGTTGAATTTGTGTTTTTAATAAATCATATTTGATTTGCATTGTATATAAAAAATATTATTAGCGAAAATTATAATAAATTAGAGTAAATGAAAATGAATAGAAATTAATTGAAGAAAATTAAAATTTCAAATGAAAAGCTTTGAATGAGCTAAATATATTAAAAAATAAAAAACTAATTTAAACTAATTAAGCTCTAAATGAAAATAAAAAATTAAAACATTCTCATTCAGTTAAGAAACTTAAGAAAATTATATTTCTTTTGCTTAAACTGGCAGCCAACTAAATTGATAAAATGATAAGAGAATTGAATTAAATATGATGTTTATTATAAGTTAAATTTACCAAGGTTTTCTACGTTTAGTTTTGCGTAGTTGTATTTTTTTTTTTATTTTCAATTTTTAATTTTTATATTTTTGTAAATGCATAGCCAAAAACGTTTGGTTGTTTGGTTTTGGATTTATATATTTTTTTGGTTTTATTTTAAGAAATCAAATTTAATTTAAAGCATTTGGTTTTGTTTTTAGGAATTTAAATTGTTTTTTTGTTTTTAGGTTGAGTTTCACATCAGTTTAAAGTTTTTAGGGGTGTGGGGGAGTGAGTGGGGGAGCACACAGTTCAATACAGTTTTTTATAGGAAGGGAAATCAATTTTTTTGGTGGGTGCACACGTATGAAACGAAAGGAGGCGGTGTTGTTGATGAACAGAATTGGGGGCGTGGCGTGGAATTTGATTTTGATATTTGTTGTTGGTTTTATTTGATGTTATTTTTTTTTCGGTGTTTGTCATGTATTGATTTTTTTGTTGTTAGTTTTTAGTTTTTGGTGGAGCGAATTTGTTTGAGTTTTTGATAGCAATGCATATATATATATAGGGATATATATATAGATATATATAGATAGTTGTGTAATGTATATATATATATATTGAAATTCCATGTCGATGTGGACGAGCGTTTGTATGCGATTTTTTGAGATTTTTTTTTTTTTTTTTATGTTTTTGTGGGACAATCAGTTAAGAGAAAATATTTGCATGAGTTTTGACACGTTCAAATGTTATGGTAAAAGAGTAGAGCGGTTAAAAGTAAAGTTTTGCGATTTGCACTCTGCAAGGGATTTTTGAACATTTTCATATACACATAGATATATATATATAGATATAGACTAATGCATAAAAGTTATTTTTGGTATTCATATTCTAGAATGTTTGAGGCGTGCAAAGGCAGGCAGCAAAAGGTTACAAAAAATGGTTTATATGTATATTTATTTGTATATTCACTTGCATTGAAATAAAGTCAAAGTGAAAATGCAATCGATTTGGCAATTTGAAGTTAGTTTGAATTGTAAATTGTTATGGAACTGTTCAAAGTTCTAATACAAATTGAATGAATAATTGAGTTTTTTTTTTCTATGTACACATATGCATGTAGAAATTCCAATTCTGTTTTATGACAGCTTAATAAAAATATAGAAAAATTGACAGCTAAATGCTAGTTGACATTTAGTCGTAAATATTATATTTAGTTGCAACTGTATTTATTAGAGATAGAAAGTTACAAATTGTAACTAAAATATTTAAATCATTTGTGAGTAGAAAAAGTCATTGAATATTTGTGTTAAAATTTGCATTAAAAATAAATGTCATATTTTTTTATATAAATATATATTTTTTTAAATTTATATGAACAGATCAAAATAATATTTCTTTATATAAAATTTGATAAAAATATTCAAAGGCCTTTTCTAGTCACAAAAAATATTTAGATTATATTTTAATTCTATTTCCAAATATATTTATTAACTTTATTTAATTTTATATTAAAAAAAAAACCCTTCACTTGATTGCATTTTCATTTTGGATTGCACATTAATTAAGCATAATATTTGATTGTTATTTATATAGTTTCAGTTGGGCGGGGACAAACACAGTAAGCATAAAACGCGTTCTCAGATCAGACGCTCGCTGCACATGCAAGAAGAATCTTCCTAGCAGATGACTCTGCTGCTCCATACGAATTCCATGCACAAACATATATTATTTATGGTACGAGTTCAGTTTTTTATAGGTTAGTTTAGCAGTTAGTTTAAGTTGATATTGTAAGCGAACTCAATACGAAAGCATTTTGTACAAGTTATACTCGAAACATAAGCGCAAATCAAAAAAGTCAGAAAGCGAGATGGAGATGGAAACATGCACAGGTGAAAGGTGAAAGGTGAGAGGTGAGAGGTTGAAGGTGGAAGGTGACTCGGTTTGTAACTTACCTAAGACTCTCAATTCGACACGATAGCCATTGAAGTTATCACACGTTTCTTCTGGTATAAAAAATGTTGTATCACATAGATATATATCCTCATCAGATATTCTCAAGTCCTTAATAACTAATCTGTATGGGTTTTGCTCAACAGTAACTCTGCAGGAGGCAAACAGATGTAGATATGGATATAGTTAACACATATATTTATTCTAGTGATTGTCTTACCTATTTTTAAATTCATCATTCACGCTTGTCACATTGCTGTCGCCCAGCAGCATCGCCGCAATGCGATCGTCGCCTTTGAACCAGTTGAGGGAGTGCAGCTTCCCGCATTTCTGCTCATTCACCGGACAGGGCAGCACCACATTCTTGTTCTCATGCTCGCTGATGGTGCGATCTGCAAGAGGTAAGCGGGGAAAGTCAAATATTATTATTATGATTATTACTTCTGTTCCACACACACACACACACACACACACACTCACAAAACGAGGCTGCAAAAGTGCAAAGTGCACAAAGTGAGCTCCAGAGCCCCATACAATCGCTGGGCCATTCAAATGGAGCGCAGCCATATGAATAAAGTCCCTATTCAACCTTTGGCACGGCGCGTGTTGTGTGTTTAGTATCATAAATTCAAAAGAAACGACACTTTTTTTTTTGTATTCCGTTGCTTTCAAGCTGGAAACACCTTCAAGACACCCACACACACAAACACACACGCACACATATGCAGAAGCAGAGCTCTTTTTTCTGTATGGGTCTCCATGGCGAAATTGAGTTGCTGTTGAAATGAACAAAAATGATTCAATTTGCATGGCAACCAGTTTGTTAGACAGTGGCTCACACAGAGCCAGAGCGCCAAAGAGCAATGCAAATTTTCGAAAATTGAAATTAAAGTGGACCTAAGAGCGGCTGAGGCGGCTGAGGCGCCTAAGTAAGCCTTTAAGTAGGCCATAAATATTATTTCTTTCTGTTTTCTTTCACATTGCCTTTCGCCTCAAAGTCGACTGGCATGTAAATTTAAATGTTTACATTATGGCCAAACATATTCTCTTCCTCTTCCTCTTCCTCTGACTTTTTTTTTTGCCTCTGCCTTGCATTGATTTATTTATGGACTTCTCTGTTTCGATTTTGGCCAGTTTGGCGTTTCGTTTGCCTAGCTCGTGCCCACAAATTATGCAAAGCAAATATGGGCTTTTGATTTGTTGTCCTTAGCAGTCGTAGGACTCAGCATATGCTATGGCAAGCTAAGTTCTTAGCCTGACTATGGAGGACTTAGTGGTTGGCTCTAGTGGGTCATGCAAAGCCCCAATCGGCTCATTGGCAAACATGAGTGAATCAATAATATATTTATAATGTGTTATTCCATTTTGTATACATATCAAGATTCTTAATGATCGAGTTTTTTAATATGAGAAAATGTATTTATCATTGAAATTGTCATGAATGCCTAAAACTCATTTGCTTTATATTTATCATTAGCTAAACTAAATTTCATTAAGGAATTTTTAATTTTTCTCATATTAAATATAATATATAATTTAAGATTTTTAGGAGGGCAGCAGCACACTTTAACTATTTTCTATACTTGAATTATCATATATATATCAGATAAATATTTATAATAACAAATCGTGTCATAAATATTTTTATAAAATATAAATTGATCTTCCAATTCATAATTTAAATATAGTTTTTATTACATATATAATATAATTATTACAAATCAGCTTAGCCTTTGTTTAATATTATCAATATACTATACTATTTAAATATTTACCCAATAACAGCCGCAGAATCAGAAGAAGAAGCGCACTGACACCTCTAACCACCATGAGGTGGGTTTTATCACTGAGCTAGCGCTGCAATGTACTCGCCTTTTTATAGAGTCTACATTATTCCACTCAAACGCTCCTAGAGAGCTCTCTCTTCGAATTCGTTTCGACACCCGATCAGTGACGATGCAGTGAGAGATGGAAATACCTGCTGCTGTCTCATGTGTATATTGAAGAATACTGCTCCACACACACACACACACACACACACTACAGACACTTCTCAACCTGCTCAGCTTCTGCTTTCCATCAGTTTCTCTTCTGTAAGAGTTAGTTATGGATTACTGATAGATGATCCAACAATAGTCTCATAGTTAAATCGGATCTAGATTGATTGAGTCTATATGATACATACTCTACTTTGGCCTGTTACACACATTTATACCCTAAACCTATACTGCCCTCTTACATATCTCTATTGAAGCTTGCTCTCTGATTAAATGTCAACATTTATTTAATACTTTAGCTTTAGCTTGATTCGACATTTAAATTTTATTCTAAGTTTTATTTCCACGAATTTGTTAGCCATTTCCTGTTGACCTATTTTCAGAAATTACTTGATATAGAAAGAAAGGCCTTTAACATAATTTGAAATTCACGCTTCATTTGAGACAAGTTCGGGGAATGTTTGCATATGATAAAAAATATATCATTTAGAGAAAACTATTACAGCTGCTCCAACAGCAGAGCGAAAAGGCTAAGCAGGTTACAACATGGATCATCAGCTCACTCTCGCTGTCTCTTTCTCTCTCTTATAAACGGCAATCAGTTGTGTCTGAACTGTCCGTTTGTCTGTCTGCCCGTCCTTTCTACCGACTCCTGTCTGCCTGTATTTCGTCTCTGACTCGCTCTCTCTCTCTCTCTCCCTCTTTCTCTGTGTCTACTGCCCGCGCGCCTTCCGCCTCTGTCCACAAATTTCCTGCTCTGTGGAATATTAAATTAGGCGCCCAGCCGTTTCACGTTTCTCTTGCTGCTGCAGCAGCTTCTCTCGATTTATTTTTCCTTTCTCAATTTTAATTTCTTTTTTTGTATTTTTCAATTTTCCTATTTGGTTTGCTGGTTAGGTTTTCGCACATTTCTTTTTGGTTTCGTTTCTTTTATTTATTTTTTTTTATCTTCTATTCCTCTGTTAGACTTCCTTTTCCGCTGTGTGCTGCTGCTGCTCTAGCTGCTGTTGTTGCCTTCCTCTGTGTCTGTATAAAATTCAAACAGACATGTGAAATATTCAATTTCTCAAGTAGCAAATCCTCTGCAGCGCCCGAGCTCGAGCTGCTCGTCCTGATTGTCCTGCCACTATAACTGTAATGCGTCGTATGTTGTGCTGAATTAGCCGTGCCAAATGCGTCGCCGACTTGCCAGGCTTTGCTTGGGTTTGGGTTTGGGTTTGGGTTTGCTGCTGTGTTGGGTCGGGGCTCTGGCCCAAGGTGATGCGGGCTATCGTTAGGGCTACACGTAACTTTTGTTTGGCTGCTACTCCTGCTGCTACTCCTGCTGCTACTCCTGCTGCTGCTGCTACTGCTGCTGGTGCCTGGTGGCAGGGTTAGCCAAAGATTGAACTTAAATGGCTGCCAAGGGTTAAGAGGAGCTGAACTCTTTTCGAGTCACAGCAGCAGTTGTATGGCAAGCCCATAAGTGCTTTAAGAACTTATTTGATTATAATTTAAAATAGTTATATTTTGCTTAATTTGATTTAATTTATGATTTATTATTAAACAAAATAATAATAAATAAATAAATAAATAGACTATAAAAATATTTGTCTTTAAGGCGCTCATTTAATATAATTATGGATATAATAAAATATAAACAAAATATTATAATATATTGAAATAATAAGTATCTAGCCTTTTTACAGCCAATTGAGTTATAATTTCTAATGATAATTCCATTGAAATATTTGCTATAAATATCTTCGTCTTTTAACTGAATCCCTTCTATTTTCGGCACTCATTCAGATCATCTTTACAAATTCAATTTGATTTCCCCTTTACATTCCCATTTTCAGCTCATAATCAGTTGAATCGTTTCAATCCTTTCACCTGCCCAGCTCTGCAAACACTTCAAATCAATCGCATTCCCTCCCCGTTCGGGGGCTTGGGGCGAACAATAGTCAAATTAGTGACTCAATAAATGCATGACAGCACAGGCACAGGCAGAGGCACAGGCTCAACGGCCCAACAACTCAGCCCAAAAAACCCAAAACGTAGCCAAAGTGCTTCGTTCGCTTACCAAATTGAAACTCATAAACTAAACCGCTGGAAACTTGAGCAATGGCCATTCACATTAACGCCCCATGGCTGTGTGCGTGTGTGTATGTGTGTCTGTTCGGCAGCTGGCTTGCAAAAGTTTCTGTGCCACACACACATACACACAGAAATCAGCTGAGCTGTGGCAAAATGTTAGGAAAATTTCACCACAGCTTTGATAATTGTTCATAAAGCAAGCCCAGCCCAGCTCGGCTCGGCCCATTCAATTGAAAAGTTTTTGCGAAAATTTATCACCTCATTTTTCAGAGCGTTTTCAACTAATTTGTACCACAAATCTCTTTGGCTACACCTGCAGTCGGCCAAGCGAGTGTCAAATATTACAGAATTTCCATTCATAGTCAAGCCTAAAGTGTGCCCAGTCTCCGTTTCTCTTCCGTTTACACTCAGTCTGCCTATATCTCTCTCTCTCTCTCTCTGTCGCCCGGTTCCTGCTCCGTCTCCTTCTTGTCGCATTTCGAGCAACACTGGCATTGGCATACAAAAGATTGTTAGCAATCAACTCAAGCACCAAACTTTGATTTGTATGACCATAAATCGCACTTCATTTTTGATTCAAGCATACCATCAGCCCGACCCTCAGTCGACCTAGCACACCCCCCTCCCCCGCTCCCGCACACAGTTTTGTGGTTGTCTGTTCATAAATTTTGTGCCCCAGCGAACTTGGCAAAAAGTTTCCCCCGCTCACACACAGACGCACACACATTCACACACACACACACACACACACACACACACAGACAGACAGAGCATTAAGCCTTTGGCAAACAGTTTTCTTATCTGCTTGCCATGTGTGTGTGTGTGGTGTGTCTCTCTCTCTCTCTCTCTCTCCTTCTCTCACCCTCTCTGTCTGGTTCACCCCTCAAGTTGGCATTTGCTTTTTGTATGGTGTGTAAACGTCTTTAGCTTGGCTTTTATAATTCTATTTCCGTTTCCGCAGCAACGGGGCAAAAAAAAAAAGAAGAGGAAGACGAAGAAGTTTCAGCTTGCTTTCCTCATATATTTCAACATCTTTTTTCCATGTAGACCATTTCCTGCGTCCTTTCTCCGGCTGCAAATCAAACTTTTTCACATTTAGTTGTGTGAACGAGTGACTCTCTCTTCTTCCCTCTCTCACTCTCTCTAGCTCCCTCTCTCTATGTGTGTGTGTGCCATCATCATTGTCATCATCGCCATTGACGCAACTAGCTACTGTCCGAGTCCATGTCTGTGTCCATGTCCGTTTGTAGTCATCCCTTTCCCCAACCTGCTGCTGCTTAGTCTTCTTCTTCCACATATCGTAGTAGTATTCTTTTGTG